ATCTGCAAGGAGGAAGGAAAAGTTAGACAAGATCAAGCAAAAGTGCGCAGGTAAGGCGAAAAAAGGATACAAACCGGTGCGAAGCTAGAGAATTTAATCAGGTTGGTTGTATTGCCGAGTCAAATTTGAATAAGTATGATTAAAAGCATCGATTCACTCATGCAGTGACCTTCATTTTAAATTTAAAAAAATTTGTCGGCGATCTAGTTTTGATTTTTTTGTGCACGTTTTTTTGTGCACGATTTCTCAGGGACCAAATTAAGGGCCTGTTTACATGGAGGTGGGGGACCCCAGGTAGGTGAGGTAACTCGCCTATCCATACAATTCCTTATTTTATTTTGGTCACGTTTACATGATAGGTGGGGTGACCCGCCGAGGCGGGTTGCCCGGTCTGCTAGGTAGGGTAACCCTGTCAGCCGGGGTGACAATTTGCCATGTAAACGTGTCAAGGTGGGGTGACCCGCTTAGCCGGGGTCGAGTTCATGGCAAAAAGCTCAAAAGCGAAATATGCATGTTTTAAAACTTTGTTCATTTCTTAGCCGTCTCATGGCAGAAATCGCCAGAAACCGCAACGGACATGCAAGGAGTGTAAAATGTTCACATTTCGGAATATTTAGCGTTGTAAATCTACCATATTTGGTTTCCCAAACTATTCTGTACAACGTATTAAGTCAACGGTTCCTCGCGAAACCGAACACCGCGTAACACAACGCGTGACGCTTTCATGAATAAATACATATGTGTCCGAGAATTAATCTTCGCCTCTGCTCAAACTCCTTAATTGCAAGCGCAACAACAACCTCAAGAAACCTCACCCCAGCACCCTGGGGTTGTAAGATTGCATGTAAACGCGTTTTATTTTTAGACCACGGCTAGGTAGGTTACCTCACCTACCTGGGGTCCCCCCACCTCTATGTAAACAGTCCCTAAGACTGCGTGACAGGATACCTTGAGCCGTGACTCAATGTTATGCAAAGTTACTGAAGCTGTGAAGCATACAACGTATCAGGGAGCACGCATAGGCTCAAATAGGCAGACAAGTCAGGTTCGGCGAGAGATCAAGAGAGTGAGAGTTAGAATCTTAAGGGAATGACTCAAACATGCCTCTTCCATTTTTCCTGATGTGTTGCTGTTTGTTTTTGGAAGTGATCACAGCGATTTTCTGGAGACTAACCTTACTATTATAGCTTATTACGATCATTGCTCATGCGAGCGTGGTAATCGCTAGGCTCGATTACCAGCCGTTGCCGGGTTAAATAAGACGGCGCTCCTCCCCTCTTGGAGGGTTCGATAGAAAACGCACAGTGCGGAGTGTAGAAAATGCGGAGTGTGGAGAACGCGGACTGTAAAAATATAAAAAAAAAACATAATATAAAAGAAAAATATATTAAAATATATTTATGTATAAAGCTTGTATTAAAGAAAATATTTATATGTACACA